TGGTGGGGGAGGTGAGGAGGGGCCCCTCCACACGGTGGGTCGCCGGCGGCTGAGGCGGGGGAGGCCCAGCCTCCTGCCGCCCCCGGGGTGTGAGGGGAGGGCGGCCGTGACAGGGATCAGGTCACGTTTAGCGGTGACCCCATCCGTCGTGTGTAGAAACAGAAATAATAAATACCAGGAAGGGCATAATTGCCTGCACAGCCTAACCCTGGGGAGGCCGTGCCCCTCGTGTGAAGAAAAGCCATCCCCTGGGGCGTGCCTGCTGAGGCACTCGCCCTTTAATTCTTTTTATTTTTTTCCCTTTAAACTGGTTTTTTTTCCCTACGAGTTTAACTTTGCCTAATAACCCCCCCTTTATTATTATTATTGTTATTATTATTATTATTATAATCTGCTTTTCATCATAGAGCATCCCCGTGCAGGTTTCCGGTGGGTAATAACCCTTCGCTGTTTAGGGGTGTCGGGGGGGGGCGAGGATTTGTCGACGAGCTGGATCGCGCCCCGTGGAAGTGCCGCCCTGCGTACCCGCCGCTTCCCAGGAGGAGCTTTCCTCCGCGCACCCCGTCGGACGGGACTGCATGCTAACCGGAGAGAATATTGCTGAAGAATCCTTTGTTATGGTTGTCGTACCTATGGGTTAATCCCATCAGCGAGAGAAGTTTAAGTGGCAATAAAAGTTGCAATCCTATCAAGAGCAGCAATTGCATCCTAGGCACGGGTCAAAGCAGTGCTGAATATGACTTGCAACAAATGTTACGTGTTTGAAATTTTAACTGCAAGGTTGGGTCCAATTACTTGGCAAAAATGATTCATCTTTATTTCTCAAGTTGATTTCCTAGACTTCTGAAAATGGGAATGTGTGTTGAAAGGACTTCTCATAACTTCAGTTTTGAATACTAGTTGATTTTTTTTTTTCATTTTTTTTTAAACCAAGGAAATCAGTGTGGTTAATGCACCGACAGGAATTGCATTTGTCACGTATAGTGTCATTTCCAGTTGTAACAATGGCACTGTGTTTATGTCACAGATAGATGTGTACAGATCGTTAATATTCAGCAAAATAATACTGCTGAAATAATGAATGCAAAATCTTTAAAGCAGCGTGAATAAAGCCTCTTCAACCTCCAGTCAGTTTGATAGGCAAAGTCAGGTTAAAATTATGTTTTGTTGCACTAGAATCCCGGCTGGATAAAAGCACTAAACCTTAAAAAAAACCAACAAAATAAAGCAAAAGCATGTGGAAAAAATAAACAGTCCTGAGAAACCGCTATTATCATTGCCTTTTTTTTCCCCCGCTTGAATATTTCATATTTTTTTAATATTTTACCAACAAAATGTCCGTTTTTTGTTGGTGGGTTTTTTTTTTGTTTGTTTCCACCTTCTCCCCCACAGCGATCTGGTATGCAGAACTGTAGCTGATACACTGATTTTTGTTTCTCTGCTTAAACTCTGAAACAATGTGTAGCTGAGTAGGTTTATAGGTTTCTTTTTCCCATAAGGTTTAAATGGGTTGCATTTTCTCATGTGTTTCCCAAGTCCAGGATTTACACGTGGCATGAGATAAATACAGGTTGAGGTTTTAGGCCAGGCAGTTTCAGGCCCCAATTCTGAAATTAAATTTGAAGTAGTAAGTAGACCTTTGTGTCTATGGAGAGAATCATTAGGGTGCCAGAGACACAAAAGGCCATTTGGGTGGATTTTTTTTTTAAAGGAGCTGGAGTCCAGGAGACCAAAGTGGGGCCTTGTTAAAACATTTGCTGCTACTGCCTGTACAAAAAAATGTTTTTCATCAATGTTGGTCAGAATAACGACACTATGGTGTTTTGATGACATTGTGAATGCATTATTTTTTTATTTATTTTTTTTTAGTCTTCCTTTTTGAAGCTTAATGTTAGACTAAGTTGATGCCTCAGCATGGTTCTTAGTGTACAGTGGTTCTTACTTCAAAATTTCTACTGCGTTTTTTTACTGGTGAGAGCTTTGTCTATGAGACACTGTAAAGCACTGGGTTTTTAGTTCAGAGAAACCTGTTTCTTTGTGGTGAATGGTTTCACGTGTGCTTCTGCATGTTAACATTCACTAAATGCAACCAGATTTGCAGAGGGAAAAGCAGGCACTCATAGCCAAGTTTAGTGGTTTTGAAGGCCACTGGAAATTAGGTGCAAAGTTGATTAGAACAGCTGTATTTTTTTATATTCATAATGTGCAATTAACTTCACAGAAATATTTTTGGGTGCAGGATAGGGTTTGTGCATGCTGTCACTGTTGAATAAGTTCTTCTCTCTGAAAGAATTATATTTTATACCAGAGGCTAGATGTGGATTATGATCTTTAACAACTGGTAGAACTGTTAAGATTAGTGGAAATAATGCTTACGACCTCTTGATTATATTTTAATATAGTTCTAGACTGAATTTGCAAAGCAGATTGTGTCATGAAGTTAAATTAACTTTGTCCATGGCAGCAGTACCAGCTTGAATGGTTAAATTGGCCTGTGCTTGGATGGGAGATGTCCACGAGAGAGCCCGGATGCTGCAGGAAGCGGTGTAACTGATCCCAAGGTGGCACGCTTTTCTTTGGGTTAGTGCGAAAGGAGTGCCCCAGCGTGGTGCCAGTTAGGTGTGCCGTGAGTCACATGTAAAACTCGGATCCTGTCTGCCAGCTGGAAATCCCTCTACCTTTTACTGTAGAACCATTGCCAGACTTCAATTTAGTAATGTCACTGAGGATCTAAACTCTCCCTGTAGACATGGCTTTCTTACTTACTTTATAACCTAAATTGTTCTGTATTATTGCTTGGGTACTGAGAAATTACTATGTTCCTCTTGATAGGAGACTGTACTGAATATAGTAATTTTCTATATGTGACCTTTAAAACATTTTGAAGTCTTTCTAGATGAAAGATGTTGTATAAATGTAAGGAAGCTTAAGCTGTAATAATCATTCCTTACTTGGACAAATCTGCTGAAGTTCGTTAGAAACACGAGTAAGAAATGCTGAATAGAACCGTAACATACTGTGTTATAGAGGGAACTGGTAACGAACTCTATATTTAGGTTGCCTAATAGTTTCCATTATAAAGAATTTGTATGATCTCTTTGAGAAGCTCTGTTGTTTGCAAAAGCCGTTGAAGTTTGGCAAGAGGAAGAGTCCTTAGGCTAAATAAGCGGTTTGATTTCCTTGCCCCATGAAGTTGTTTAAGTTTTGCTGAGACATAAACACTTGAAATTCCCCCTCTGTCACTCATATCGTATGAAAAAGTGAAAGAAATGCTAGAACGCCAAAAAAGCCCAGATCGGCATCACTATAAGAGCAGCAGTGGCAGTGGTATTATGCTGAAAATCCAGAAAAGAATTATTTGGCTCCTGGGGAGGTTATAGTGAGGTTACTGAATTTGGTCTGACTCTCACAATTACTGCTCTGCCAAAAGAAAGGTGCCTCCATGGGCACACTACCATTTCTTTTCTTTCTTTGCTTCTTCTCTTCATGACACTATCTGAATCGGGAGTACACACACCAGTACTGGCTGACCTGCAAGAACTGGGCTGGATCCTTGGCCAGACCTTCCAGCAGCAAGCATTTGCTCCCAGTTTGTCTGTCCTTCAGTAGGTGTTTGTTTTTTTGTTTGGTGGTGGTGGTTTTTTTTTCTCCTTGCCAGCTAACACAGTTAGTCATCATAATTTAGACGCGTTGTAAAGCTGAAGGTTCAGGGTTCCAGTCTTGGTGTGAAGAAATACACAACAGGACTAGCATCCTCTCTAAAGGGACGTACGTTCGCTACTCCCTTCTGTCTTCTAGGAGGCTGCATTACTGCTCCCATCACCTCTGCTCCATCTTCCTCAGATCATATTAACGCTCTTGTTATTCAGTTAGTGACAGCATCCGGATTTAAAATTACCTGTCACTTTGCTTTTCTTAATGTGGTTTTTATGCAGGCATATTGTGGTCTGGTCTCTAGTTACAGGATCCCATTCTTTTTTCCATACTATGACAGTCTGCTTCTCTGCTCAGCGTGAAGAATGAGCGTCCAGGGGAGTGTAGTGAGAGCTACAGGAGGAACTGCAAATCCGACTTTTTAAACTTTGAAATATTTGGTATGATACTCTACTGTGTAAATAAAGGAAAAAAGGGGGGCATGGATACATGATCAGTTTCCCCTTTCCAGAGTCGATAGCATTCTGTGATTTTTAAATTAGGAAAAAGAGCAGAATTCCAAAGGATATTTTCACTAATAGTATTCTCATAGCTAAAAATAGGACAAGGTTTGTTGTACAAAGATGCTTGTTATGGTTTAATTTTATTTTTTAGAACTACTTTTATTTCTTGCTTTGAATTCAGTAAAAACTTAAACTTACCTATGAATCTAGGAGACTTAGTGCACACTGTTCAAACCCAAAGTATGTTTCTTTTGGAAGGAGGAAAAAAGGAGGGAGAATAAGGAGATAGGTACAAGTAACTTCTGCGACCTTTTTTTAGTTTGGTTTGGATTTTTTTTAGGTGCTTCTCTCTTATGCACATGTTGCATTAGCTGCTTTATGTAATATCATTTCTATAAAGTAGCCTCTGAAATTTGTAGCCAGAATGAGAAAGTGCTCTCAAGTCAGGATGAATTTCTGTGGATTTGGGATCTATACCTCTAAACATCCTGTACTGCTGAAGCAGAGACATATATAACCAGCTGAATGGGGGTATGGCTTCCGTGTCCTGTGCTCTGTTGATCTCCATAACTGAATCGTTCCTTTTCTCCCAGCCGAAGGTATGAAAAGCCAATTTTAAATCATACCAGACAGGAGAGTCTGAGGTATGAAGAACTGGGGTGCCATCTTTGTACCTTAGTTTGATATTTGGCCAGTGCTCCTTGATTGTGCCTGGAGAGTATGGCTATTCAATACGTGCGTGTATTTTATAAGCACGTCTGACAGTCTCCTAAATGGGAAATACAGGTCTCTCCTTGAAGCTGTCAAGAGTTTGTTTTACGCTTTGAGAAGCATAAATAAAATGTTTAATTTTTTAACTTGGATATCAAGGTCATTTTTCTTCAGAAAATATGTGCAATTTGTTTAGTCATGTACCATCTGGATGTTTATAAGCACAAATCAGTTACATTTAACCAAATCTGGTATTTGTATTTCTGTTGAAATACAGGGCTGCTCAGGACAGAGAGTTGGTACTTATCTTGTATATCTGGTTTAACATGTCTGTTTTACAACAGCTTGTTAAGGACTCTCTCTTCTGCCTTCCAGTATGCAGCCTCTGTGTGTGCACATGCGCATGCGTGTGTCAGGGGGAAGGTTGTGAAGGAGAAAAAGAGGAAGAACCGCCTGTCATGCTGATTTTACAAATACATGACTGAATCAAGCTTAACAGACTCAAGAGCTGTTCGTTACTTGTGGTAGTTCGGAGAAGGAAATATTTGCAGGAATGAAGTGAGTGGAAAAGTAATATATGATCCATATTTTACCAAGCTCCTTATTGCAAGTATTATGTTTTAGCGTAAATATTTAATTATGAAGAGAAGCCTGAATAAATACTTCTGTCTGTCTCTGCAGATAGCCATCAGGCAATCTAGTCATTCTGGATTTCCAGCCTTATTTTTAAAAAGAGTTTTTAAAAGTAACCTTTTGAATTATTTAGGAATTTATGTAGGGATTATTTTCCCTGAAACATATAGTGAAACTTAAGAATTTTGCACACATCAACTTGAATGAGGTTTTTGTTTTTCCATACAAAACAATGAAGTAATTTTTATTGAGTAGAGTGGCTCTGTTAGATGCTGTTGATAGGTGTAGCTTCTGTGGGCAGTAGAGGATGCAATGGGCAGCCAATCAAAAGAGGATAAAGCTTACATTTTAGCAAGACTACATAAGTAGTTGGGTTTAGGTTTTTGTTTTGTTTTGTTTTTTAAAGGCTAATTCTGTTGTTAAATCTTTGTAGTTTCCATTACTCTAAACAGCTCATGAAAAAAGGTGTTTTTTCTTTACAGCATGAGCTTGGTATTTTTTGTCTGATGTTTGTTTGTGGTTTTTTTCTGTAACTCTTTCCTGATGTCTGTTATAGCTTGGACTTTTTTTTTTTTTTCCCCATCTTTTTAATGTAATCTCCCCAGAACGAAACAATATTTCATTTGATATTGGGCTCGGACCTGGTAGGGTCTGTTTGATCCAACTTTGGTAGCTGATTTAAACCTAGTTTAGCTGTTTCTTTTTGCATTATATTGAAAATAGTACTTACATCAGCGTCATCTTTGGCCAGAAATTTAGGTAGCTGTCACTGTGACTCGGCCTTCTGTGTGTATATACCTTATGTAATTGGAGAAACAAACATGGAGCAGGAAGACTGCTTTCTATAACTTTCTCTCTTCCCCACCTATGCTAAGTAATGATATCAGAGCTGCTGAACAGGAAGAAACATTTCTTTGCCCTCTGTTTCCAAGATTTCAGATCTGATCATGGATTTAGCAGATACGCTCTCTAGAAGGCCAACATTGTTAATGGGCACTGCAGGGTCTGAGGTAGGTTCTGCCACTTAAGAATGGCTCGTTCAGCTGAATTGTACCAGAGCCAAGCAAAATAGATTAGCATTTGTTTTCCACAGTTACTAAAGTAGTAAAAGCTTTGAATACATTTGGGTTCATTACAGGAGTGGTTCTAAGGAGGCGTCTCATTTGGCTTATCCGTGTTGCCCTAGGAACTCAGGGTGGAAAGGGTCTTCCGGTGAGTTAGACCCTCTCCTGTACTGAAAGAGGATCAGTAAACCTGGGTGACTTCTAACATAATCTTTGTCCTAACAAGTCTCCAGTGAAGGATACTGTAACCCTGTTAGCCTGTTTATAGTGCTTTTTACCCTTGATGTTTTCCAGATAGCTAATCTTTTTGTTCAGTAGGATAAGTTGATTGATACTCCCCCTAGCCCCAACGAATTACCCACTATATTTGTCATTCTTTGGTTATTGGGTTATGGTTTCCATGTTCACCCGTTTTCTCAAAGTCTTTCTTACAGAAACAAAATTTCAGCAGCCCTTTCTTACAGGTGACAGTTTTCTTCAGTTTATGTCATGATTCTTTATTCTTGACTCTTCAGCTGACACACCTATTTCTTACAGTAGTAGCCCAAAATGAAGATAGACCTTCAGCTGTCATTTCTAGTGCAAGGGGTAGTGGGCTTGCGCCTTTCCAGAGTCCTGCTAAGTTACGGTGTCTGATGTTGGTACTGCCATGAATGGGGATTTTCCCTTTGAGCAGTAGTGTCGTGATGTTTGCTTCTCTGTGCCTCGCGACACGTTTGATCCACTACAGTCTGGTGTCCTTTTGTGTCCCATTGTTACTTAAGCAGAGCGTTTTTATGCAGTTGTGGGGCCTGTGGTGCTTTATGCTGTCTCTCTTGGATTTCATTGTTTTGATTTTTGAGTCATCTTTACTTAGGGTGGTCTTGGCAGATAGTTCTCACCACCTCTCAACTTGGTGCTGTTTGCTTTTTCTAGTCCTTATTCCTTTGTCCAAAGCACGATTAAGAATATTTAATAGCATACATGTAGAACCTCGCTATAAATGTCTAGAGCAGGTGATGGAGAACTATTAAAAACAAACCAACCAACCAACCCTAATTTTGGACTTCATTCTGCACAGCTTTGTTCCAGTCATAGTCTAGCTTGAGTGGGAGAATGTATTTTTTATTGTGTCTCAAGTCAAGATGAGACGTGTATTGCTTTTCTCCTACTCACTAGGACAATTAGTTCATTAAAGAGAGAAACTATACTATATCAAGCCAATTGGCTTTATACTTTAATGCTCCCAATTGTTAAATAATTTCGTTCCAGTATCTTTCTGAAATTTGAGTTAGGCTGAGTCGTCTACTACTTTCTGCATTTTTATTTACCCATCTTGTGATTTCTCTTTTTCTTTTTGATTTTTCTCTGCTGCAGTACTTGGTGACTTATTCCATCTTCCTGTAGTTCTCTAAATGATTTGTTTCCAGGGAGAATTTCGTTAGATGCTGTTGACTGCCATATATAACATTCAGTAGCCTGGTCTGCTTCTTATTGTAACTTGTACTCGTATCCCTTCATTTAATTTGGTGATATGGAATTAAACTTTTGTGTGGAGGCTGAAGCAAAGAAGCCTTTGTGTCATCTGATATTTGCTTCTTTCCATGTTTGATAATGGAGAGATTGCTTTCTTTCTATTTCCATGATTAAGTACTTTCCTCTGGGGCATAAGTAGTGCGTGTTTCGACATGTTCGGCTTTTTTTTTTTTTTTTTTTTTTTGGGGTGGAAATGCTATCTTTCTTCTTAGTGCTGCCAGTGGTATTCCTCCTCACTGCGTCTTTTCTAGGGAAAATGATTAGCTGTTCTGGTCTAAAAGCTACTGGGATTTGAATAAACACCTACGATAAGATTATGTTAAAAGAGAAGTCTAGCTGGTGAGAAGAAAGCTCTTGTACCACCTGTAGAGTGATGAGAAGTTGCATTTTCTGCCCTATGACTTTTTATAACAACTTTTCCTTTACTGTTGTGACAGCCCGCTACGCCTGTTCCTGTTTAAAACTCGATACAAGTGTCTGTACTTTTCATCTTGAAAGTCAGGTTAGGACAGTATACGTTGCAGAAAATTTTCTCAGAATATCAAATGATGTCTTGTCTTGTTGGCTGATACAGTCAGCTGCAAAAAACTTTCAAAGTAGGCTAGTGGAGCAAGACATTAAGCGTTCATTTTTTATGCTTTCATGCAGTAGCTTATCCTGATGTAAGTAGGACAGAGAGATCCTGAGGATTGTCTGTTCTTTCTGAAGTGCGTTCCACTGGTATGTGTACGTCGATGTAGAGCAGGCTTGAACTTGGAGAGTTTAGCTGCAGAATGTTGTTGGTAGGCTTTTGGCTGGCAAACTTTCCACAAGAAGTTGCACTGAAGACTACAAGGTATGACCTTGACGCCTGCTACAAGTTTTTTCTTGTTTACTTAGGAGTTGGGTGGTGGGGAGGAAATGAATAATTGAAAATTTTCCGTTTCTAACTTACTGGAAGTTTGGTACTTATCTTTAAACTTTTCCATAATGCTTGTATATACTTCATCTGAACGGCGCAGTTCAAATGACAGTGCTTTGTGTAAGAAAATATGTGAATGAGAGGGGGTTTTAAAATTTACTTTAGAAGTAGAGTTCCTAACTCTAAAAGGTGAAAAACGCTGGTTTGACACATGCACATTTAGTGAAAGGAAAGTTGTTTCTTACAAATATCATTGATTTCTGTGATTAGGGTCATGAGCTAGCAGTTCTGTAATTGAATAAGAAGGGAAAAAGAAAAGGTGAGGGCTGATGATTATGTGGCATCTTTTCCTATCAATATACATCTTTTCTAAAGAGCATTATGGAGACTTAATTTTTTAGGGAAGGTGTGTAGTCTTTTCCCCGACTTAAGGTGGACGTCTTTGTGGCACTGGCTCTGCGTGGGGAAAGTTTCTAGAACGCTGCAGCCTTCTGGGAAGGTCACACCCGTAATGCAGAACAAATAAGACAGGTCAGAAACAAGCTCCTTCCCGTCTGGTCACAAAACCAGCTGTGCCACGTATTCACCCAGTTTTGTACAACAATAACTGTGCTGCTGCATCAGTACGAACCTCCTGTTTTGCGTGTGTTTTTTTGCATCGGTGCAAGAAGCATCACAGTTTCTACAGGAAGGGGACAGAGGAGCAGCCTGGAGGATCCAGTCCTTTGTGGGATTGGAAGTTGGGAGAGGTCACTTCCCCATGAATCCCAAGAATCTTAAGGGTCTAAAAGACTGTAACCACTGCCTTCTCTGCAGGCTCCCAAATACAGCCTCCTCAGGGGATGTTGTTAAGGAAACTGAGCTTCCTGACCCCTGCTCCTATGTAGCACTCTCTCATCTAGGAAACATAGATTGGTTGATACCCATATGTTTCTTAAACAGGGTATTTTCAATGTAGCTGTCACTTTTGCTGAGCATCGGTGAACCACAGTTTGTGGCATATGGGTAAGAATTTCTAACAACAGTGTGTGAGAGGTTGAAGCCTTAAAAAGGGTTGTTGGAAAAGTAACATTTGATGGCTGCTTTAAAAACTATCCGTGAAGACAAACTTGGACTTTCTAAAGAATCATAGAATCATGAAGGTTGGAAAAGACCTCTGAGATCATCAGGTCCAGCTGTTAAGGTCCTGATACGGCTATTTCTTCTTGGGGCAGACTCTTGTGCAGTGTACCAGTTGTCTTCAGGAGGCTTGCTGGCCTCATCTGTTAAATGTCATCGAGGAAAATAGGGCATTCCCTTTAAGGGAATGATTAAATAGGGACACTGCCTCAAGGGGTAGTTTTCTGCACATTTATACAGTGACTGATAAAACCATATGGGTCTTGTAAGTCTATTCTAATTGAATCAGCTTTTATTCAAAGACAGAATTGCTAGAAATGCACTGAATGGATGAATTCCAAGTAAATGATTCACACTGTAAACCAGCTAGGAATATGAAAGCACTGGAAATCAGAGCTGGCTGAAAGTTAGAATCCAAATATACATAGGATGTGTAGAAATTGCATTGTTACTCTGCAATATGCATATGGATCTATATTATGTTTTCCCATATAGACCACTAGCTCCATTGTTTGCACTGTCATAATATTCAGTTGTATTATTTGCAGAGGCAGTGTAATGTACTGTTAACACTCTAGGATATGGCAGAAGTGATGGTAATGGGAAAAAATAATTTTGGATAACAATGTAAATTATCGATGTTGAAGATGCATTTAATCATGAACTGCTTCAATGTAGAAATAAAGACTAGTTTCTCACAAGATGGCTTTGTGTGGTGATTAGCGTGAGCATCTTCATGTGACATAGTAAGCTAAACATAGTTTAATCTGATAGTTTTTATTCTCTGAATAGCTTAATAGAGTACTGATGACTGAGTGAGTGAGCTGAGCTGTGTCAGAATCCAAAGACTGCTTTTCCTGCTAGTGATTTAATTTAATTGCTAGCAACTCTTGTACTTGCATTACAAGAACTGGTAATAGGAAATATTTTTTGCTTTTCATGATATGACTTAAACTGCTAAAAATCAGGAGTTGGCATCATTACATGAACTGCTAGCTTCTGTGTAGACCACAGTGTGCGAGATCCAACTGGCCACAGTGCTTGAAATACTACTTGGTATACACAGTGTTCCTGATGATTTCCTGTTTGCTTTAAATAATGTCACTGATGTGCTTATGCAGAAATGAATCCTTTTTTTCTTTTTTTCTTTCTTTGGTATTAGGAGGTAAGTTGTGGTCTGGTTGCGCTTGATCACGTAAATCAGCGATGGTAATGGAACAAATATTTGTGCTGGGTTTTTAGTGAAGTTGAAAAAGCAGCTGCCTTTGTTACGGATTATTGTTTCCTCAGCATTTTGGCAGACCCTGGAAGCTCTCGTTGCACAAGGTGCTGCACAAAGAGCTTGTGGAGCAGATGTGATAGTCCATTAAAAGTTAAATGTGATTTTAAAAAGTAAATTTTGCTTATGTATCAAATCTAGGGGAAAAAAAAGTTAATTTAGTTGAAAAATTGCCTGATGGAAGAAAATAAAGTCTCAAAAAATTGTAGCTACTAATCTGCAATTCTGTGGAAGAATATATTAAAAGCTGTTGTGCATTTTGTGTATAGAAATGCGTTGACAATTCTAATTAATTGGGAATGAGTGTTTTGCATTTGACAACAAGAGTCCTCCA